AGAGCTGGCATGCTATAAAGAAAATAAAAAGATAAAGTCCAGTATTATATGCATTTCCATGTTTTTCTTTAAAGCGGCAGAAGAATTCTACAGACATCCTTAAGAAATAAAAGGTGGTGGTAGCAGTAATTCAGTGCTTGGAAGATACTTATCAAACTAGAAAATAAAAAGACAGATGAGGCAATACAGAGTGCCCTGTGTGGTTAGTGAAACTGGAGATGAATTCTAGTTAATGATGTTTTATGATGGAAAACATTTCCCACAGCAGCCATTTTAACCTGCTTTTTTCTGACTTTGGCACTTTTTATATATCTGGCAAGAATGGATTAACATTACTCTACTATGAAGTAAAACAACAATAAATTCTGTGCTATCCAGGCCACTAGAATGCTTTTGTGTTGATGCAATGCTTAAATTTAAAAAGGATTCTTTGCTTAGTTCTCTAGGTTTCAGCTTGGTGAAAACTATAGCAAAATATTCTACAAAACAAATTAAATTAAATTCCAGGAATCAACTCTGAATTTAAAAAACAGGAAATGTGATCATGTCACAAATTAAATTTGACCTAGTTTGCCCATATGCTAAACTATGATGTATTCAATAAACCATAATTAGTTGAATTTGCAGAATACACCATAAAATACATTTACAAGTCAAATAAACTGAGTTCACACAACACGCTAAGCATCAAACGATATTAAGGCTTGCAGTGTTGTACGAATCAGCTAATAAATCACTTTTAACTTCATTCAACCCAGAGTTATGAATTCTAGAAATTTTACTGAAAAAGAGTTGTGAACAGGCCTCTGTATATAGACGTGCTCAAAGTTCAGGGAAGACAATTTTTCAAAGTGGTTTTTTTTTATTCCTGATTCATCTGAAATAATGAGGTTGGGCACAAATACTTGCATGGTTACAATCACCCTTCTACACAGAAAAAGCCATTCCCGTCTAGAGAAGAATTACAGCGGGCTAAAAGAATAATTCATACCACTTGTGGTTATTTTCCTTTCTAGGCAGGACTAGGGTTTGAGGTTTGTATACTCCTGTTTCTAGGACACGTCAACAGATACTCGCGTGACCCGGATTAACACCTTCCGGACCAGAAAAAAGACCATTTTCCTCCAATTATGCTTTTGAAGGGAACGAGGATTCGGCCCACTTCCACCATCGCCAACGATTAACGAGGCTGGTTCTGAATCCGGCTTAAAAGCGGGGCGACTTTGGAGCTACGGCGATTAACACGTTATGGTTCCGGATCCAGGCTGAAATACACCGCAAGAGCGATAGAGAAAAGGCTGGCTCTACCTGCCTCAGGGACAGAGCCCCCCGACTGCTTGTCGAAAGCGAGGCCTTGCCCGGGTCGGAAGAGGGCCCTGCCGGCTCCAGGTGCAGATAGCGGGTCTCCGGCCCTCACCCAACCGCGCTGGCCCAGCCCGAGGAAGAGAAAGTGGTGGGGCGGCCAGGGAAGCAGCTTCGCCCCTTTCCCCGCAAACCTCTGCGCTTGCCTCGGTACTTCTCACATTCCTGAAAGCCCGTGCTCCCAAAATGGCGGTGCGGCCCGAGAGAGAAGAGCGAGCGCGTCGCCTGGAAAGGGCAGCCGGCGCATCTCTCCTTCCCTGGCAACAGGCGCGCACACGCGTAGGGCCCGGCCGAGAGAACGCGTCCCGGGGCCTCCGCTACCCGCCTGGGCGCTTCATCTCTGCCGACTCCGGCTTCTCCCTGGCGCCGCCTCTGGAAACGCCTCGCCGGCTTCCCAGGCGAGCAAAGCTCCTCCCGCCCTTTCTGTGCCTTTTCGGGCTTTCCTCGGGGCCACAGCTCCGCTTCCGACTACTGCTCCTCTTCAAAGGCTTTCCCGGGTAGAGCCTCCACCGGGGCTGTTTTCTTCCTCGGAACAAGCTCCACTGCTTTCGGGGGGAGCTGTTGCCCTGGGAACGGCTTACTCCAAGGAAGCCTGCGTAGCCTCGCAGGGGCCGCTTCGGCTCCGCTTCTGTGCTGGACTCCTTTGCTCTCATCTGGAGTTAGGATCCTAAGAACAGCTCTGCTGGAGCAGGCCCAGGTGCAGACCCGTTTTAATTATAGCAGCCAAGCAGAGGCCTCTCGGTGATTGCAAGCAGGAGGCAGAGACCTAGCCCTCTCCAGCTTTTCTCCCCCAGCAACTGGGATCTATCTAGAGGTATGCCTCCAAAGCATACCTCGGGGGAAACACTGCTCTCCACAAATGTGGCGAATTCTCTCTGCAAGCCAGCCAAATGAGTGGTCGTGGTCATGGTCACCGTGGGGTAATAAATCCCACAGGTTAATTATGTCTTGCTTTCTAAACTTCCTTCCAGTCAGCTTCCTTGGATGACCCCTTTGAGGAGAAAAATTTCCTCTCGTGTTTCCATCCCATGGATGAATTCATAAACTTTCATCATTTCTCCTCATGGTCATCTTTTTTCTAGGTTAAATATTATTTAGACCTATTATTCAAATAATATTTAACCCAAATATTATTTTCTCACATGCCTCGCGTTCAAGCCCCCTCATCCCTTTGGTTGCTGTCTTCTGCATTGTTTCCTGCTGTATTATATCCATTTTCCAGTGTCGTGACCAGAACTCTACACGCTCCTCTAGACGTGGACATACTTTAGATTTGTGTCAGACCATCATAATGTTGAGAGTTTTATTTTCAGTCCCTTCCGAAATGATACCTGCTGTGGAATTTGTCCTGCCTCACATCATTCTAAGATCTCCACTGAGCTATCCATTCTGACCACAAACCTTCCTGATTTTTATTGATTTATTAAATGTGTAGGCTACTCAATCTCAAGACTTTCAGTGGCTCACAAGACATGGTTAGTTACAGACAGCTTAGACCCCCCCCCCCAATAATTGGTTAGGGAATTTTTTTCCCCAATGAACATCACTTTACACTTAATCTTTTACCTCACTTGGATGGCCGTTCATCCAGTTTAAAAAGAGATCCTTCTGGCGTTCTTTTAGTTTTCACATCATGAACAGTTCTGCATCATGTGCAAACTTGGCCAGTTCACTATGTAACCCTAAGTTAAGATCATTTCTGAAAAAATTAAAAAGCACTGGTCCCAGGACAGATCTTTGAGGGATTCCCATTCTTACTTCTCTCCACTAGGAAAATTGTGTTTATTTCTACACTTTGCTTTCTGTTTTTTAAAAAGTTAGCAGTCCATCAAAAGACAGGTGCTCTTATCCCCTGACAGCTCAGTTAGGCAAGATCTTTTAATGAGAAACTTTGTGAAAGGCCTTTTGAAAATCCAAGTATACAGTGTCAACAGGATCACCTCCATCTCATCGATAGGGCTTGTGTAAGTATTTTGTGTGAGAGAGAGAAAGAGAGCTTCAACGGCAAGGATTTCCACTGAAAATAAATTTATAGCTCATTGGTACTATATTCTCTCTGTGTGGTTCATTCTCCATTAACTAAAGTGAGATCAGCAAGTGTATAGATCTATTAACATTTATTCTTAACTACCTCCCTCTGATTGCAATAAGATTCACCTATTATGTAAGGTATTATAGTTTTATAGTCTCACAGTTAAGTTATATGTAATGGGTTTCCTCCTTCTGCCATATATATGAACCCAAACAGATAGATGCTGCAGCACATTGTGGATCACAAGCTGAGCATGAGCCAGTCATGCGATGAAGCTGCAAACAAGCAAATGCAAGCCAAGGCTGAATTAACAGTAGTAGAGTGTCAGGAAATCATCATTCCTGTCTGTTCTGTGTTGATCAGACTGCACCTGGGTAGTTGTGCCAATTCTAGGTTCTGCATTTTAGGAAATGTATTGACAAACTGGAACATGTGTAAAGAAGAGTAATCAAATGATAAACAGCCTAGAAGGAAAACTTACAAGAAATCGTTGGGGAACGGAAAACTACAGGGAGATGTTATAACCAGCTTCAAGTATCTGAAGGGTTTTCATTGTAGAAGACAGCAGAATTATGCAGAGATGTTGCAGAAGACAAGACAAGCAACAATGGGTTTAAATTGTAAGGAAATAGATTTGGGTTGGACATCAGAAAAAATCCCTAATGGTGAGAGCCAATTAAAATGGAAAAAGATTACTTTGGGAGGTGATGGATTCTCTTTCACTAGAGTTCTTAAACAGAGTCTGGATGGCCATCTTTTAGGGATGCTAGAGTAATGGATTCCTGTATTAAACAGGACTAGATGATCTCTAAGACTTTTTACAACCCTTACATTCTATGATTCTAACATGCTAATCTGTCATTATGACTCAGTCCAAGTAATTCACTGGGTTTGCACAAAATATTGAACCAAAAACTAACTACACTGTCTGGCTTTGCATAACATGCTAAGAAGCAAACTACTAGCCAGGCACATTTCAGCTTAGCATTTTGAATGAACAGTTATAATGTATTGTCGAAGGCTTTCACGGCCGGCATTCGATGGCTGGTGTAGGTCTTCCGGGCTGTGTGGCCGTGTTCTGGAAGTTTTATTTCCTCACGTTTCGCCAGCACC